GTTGTTCTCGTTGTTCTCGTTGTTCTCGTTGTTCTCGTTGTTCTCGTTGTTCTCGTTGTTCTCGTTGTTCTCGTTGTTCTCGTTGTATTCATTATCCCCGTAGTCCCCGTCGTTTTCTAGCGGGGACCCTAGCGGGAGTGTCCGCATTTCCTCAGTCGCGGTGGTCGTCTTAAGTAGTGATAAGCCTGAGTTCCCGATATAGTCAGGGCTCGCGGCATGCTCGAGTAAGAGCATCGCTACATCCGTATGAGCCCCACGTACAGCAAGAGACAGCGGCATCCCGAGTGAAGAGTCTGCATTTACTTCAGCGCCATGCTGCAAGAGCAATCTCACTATTCCAGCATGCCCTCTAGACGCAGCCTTGTGAAGAGGCGTAGTGCCGTACGCGTCCTTTAGACCAGCCGCGTCCTTGTCCAAGGTGAGATTGAGCAGGTACTCTGCAGTTAGTTCTTGCCCATCGCGCGCCGCGTAATGCAGCGGAGTAGCATTGATAATATCTGTCCAAAGTCAGGCTTCGATGCCTCCTCTAGTAAGCAACAGAAGGATGATATCGATTTGGCCTGCTCCTGCGGCTATATGGAGCGGCCCTGCCCCCATCGATGTAGCGCAAAAGTGATCCTAGTCAATGCCTCTATTGAGTAAAAGCTTCGTCTCGTCCAAATCACCAAGACGTATAGCGCGTCTCCGTGCTGGAATGGACTCCAGAACTTCCGGGTCTGGTTGGCGGGCTGTGGCATAGGGATCAGGGGGATGTTGCGACGGCTGTTGGGTTGCAGTCGAAACACTGCTGTGGGCACGCGTGGAGTGCCGATCAATGCTTGAGGCCGTTGCATCGGTGGTCAGTCCTCTCTCTGAGAATTGCAAGCTCGAGGTAGTAGTGGTAGTAGATAGTGGCACGGACATGGAACTAGGCTGCCTTTAGCTTGCGCATCTCATGCCGCGGAAATGGAACATTCTTCAGCTGACTACTAACCTTTCATTCACAGCCCTCGTCCGAGCCATACCAGCGGCTGATGATATTCGTATCCAGGGATGTAATTTCAGGGTCGCCGATGTTGGCCGCCCACGCGGCAGTGGGTTCGTGATAGTCTGTACAAAGTTCCGACCATGTTGGCTAACTTCAAGGTCATTGAGCGGCTACTCTGGGAAGAATTCATCCAGGCTTTTGAGGTATTGCCTGAGATTGTGTTGAGACACGAATGAATCAGACCCAGTTAGTATGATGAATATCATAACTCCCAGGGCCCAGATATCGCCCTTCATATACGCCCGGCGCTCTGTATTACCACTAGGCCAAATGAGCTCTGGGGCCTTGTAATGATATGTGCCACTGTGTGTAAGACGGTCATTGGTGACGGTGTCATCCTTGCGGCTTATACCAAAGTCTGCCAATTTTACCCACCAGAGACTGGCCTGCGCAGGGGTGGGATGTTCCTTGATGAGTATGTTCTAAGATCTTATCGTTAGCTTGTCCGTTCTTTGCTACACTTGTTTGCAGAGCTTGCTAATCTCATGCGGTGTACCCACCCCAGGCTCAATATCGTGGTGCGCAAAGCCTCTGCTATGCATCGTATCCAGTCCAAGCAGAACCTGGCGGGCGACCTGGCGTGCCTCGTCTTCAGGCAGAGCGCCTCCATGCCGTCTCGTGTATGACTGCAGGTCTCCGGCGGGAAAATATTCCATTGCGATGTATATATGGCTCTGGTCCTCATACCATCCTAGCATCTTGACAAATTGATTTGAGTGCTGTGTGCGATTCTTAGCATACATTTGCCACATGTTGATCACGGCTAAACCATATAGCCAAAAGCATAACCATCGCAGGGGACTGCACGTCTTTATGTACTCTTTCATGAGAGAATCGGACAAGTGTCTTGAGCTCCTTCATGTAGCGCTGTTTCGAGTTGTCGCTCTCGAGGTGTATCTTCTTGACTGCGCGCTGCGTTAAGCGACTGGTTCCGCCAATGCAATTCTGGAGGTAGACCTTGCCCTGCCCTCCGCGTCCGAGTGTTTTTATGCTTCGCCATGTCTGCGACACGCTCTTGCCGGTCGTAGGAGCTCCCTAACCCCCGGCTAGCCCGGTACGCGAGGATATCTACCAAGGAAGAGTTATGAACGGTTCCCCGATTTTTATTGAAAATCCCTACTAAAAAGAGGCGTGCTGCAAAAAATATTTTGCAGCACTCATGCAGCAGGCCCTTAGTTCACAGTCCTATTAGCAAAACAGATTCCAAATAAGATACAGTACTAATTAATACCATTCTCATATAGCCCTCAAGGCGTATAGTGACGTGCAGGCTACGTACCTAGCCATCGCTCCATCGTCACAAGCCCTTATTTTGCGACATAGATATATCGGTAGACAGGAGGCGATACTATCTTATTCATAATCAGTCAAAGCCTTGGTTGGGAGATGTACTGGAGCAAGGCCTTCTGCCCGCTCAAGCTTCATACCCCCTAGGCAAGCTAAGACACAGTTTGGGTGATTGAGTGCACGTCCAGAAAGGGCCCAGTCAGAAGTTGCCTACCTTGTCACAGCGTGCAGTCAGTAATGGCTTCCTCGGCCCAAATGACCTAAGCCTTAGTGCAGCAGGGTGCCACTTTCAAGAGCCAATCAGATATAGAGGCCATACCCCTAATTCTGCAACGGAATCGTTGTTCAGAGACTATCACTAACAGCACCGCATTGCCTCACTATGTACCGTCATAGACAGTGAATTCTCGGGATACATGCTTCCATTCCCGGCGATGTTTGCTTCCATCTTGGTGGAATTGCCTTCCCCTTTGGAAGCCATCATCCCCATAGGTAAGAGTGAGGGGCGATTATCTGTTGACGTCCCAAAAATCACGTGCCCGTGTTATACGGTCGCTTGCACCCAACGGTCCCCAGGTGGACTCTGTGATGTACCTGACACCTGTAGGTACTCTACATTGGGTTCCTCGGAGAAGGACTCTGGTTTTCGGCTCGAACTCAGTGACAGAGTGGACCACATTTCATGCGACCGACTTAAAAAGTAAATTTATTCAGAAACCACCAGACGTTGAGCTTACAAGAATTCCGCAACCAATCGTGTCAAAAGCACTTCTGCATTTATGATCCATGCGTCATTCTTAAAAACGCTGGGCTAGAGCTTCTTGTCCGCCAGCCCAAGGCCAGTTGGCTCTCTTGCCTTCTTCATGCCTTGCTCCCGCGATCATGTATGATGGGTCATCCTATCACCGACAAAAGTTCACTGAAATTGACAGGGTAGGCGAGCATCAGTTGTGGATGCTAGATGCAGATGAGGGTCCCTATCACCAACATGAAGACTGTGAGCATGTATGTTAAGCGAGGCCACTCAATTATAACAGGAATACAGCGTAAAGAAAACCATACCACACTACAACCTAGCAAAACTCACCACAGGAGGCCAAGGTCACTTCTATTCAGTACACGGCTTGTCCCGAGCTTGCCTGGTAGTCTAGCCTCTGTGGCATATAATAATATGCATGAACAAGGCGCATGAAGTGCTCAGGGTGGAACTGTTCGTTGCTCACGTTCTTGTAATAGCGAGTACGTTTCATATGCATGTCAAGAACCCTGGATGCTTCGTAGGCATCTCCGGGTTCTAATCCGTGAACACAGCGCCTCCCATACATAACGCGAAAATAACTACGAGGTGTGGCATTTCATTAACAAGACCCCACTATAATCCCTGCCGACAAGGCTGCCACAAACCGGGATCCGCGGAAGGGGGGCACATTTCACTACCCTTCTCGAGCGGGGAAGATTGCCTCGAGCATGAAATAGTGGGTTAATGCGAACCAACATACACAGTGCGGAGGCGGTTTCGGGCGTACTCTGCCGTTTGCCAAGTCTAGGTCGTGGAAAAAGGAAAAGACAGGCTTTTCTCAGTAAAGAGGTCGAGATCAAGGACATACGGAAAGGACGTAGCGATCAGGACGGCCTTGGTGAGAGCATAGCAGTGGTATTTCCCCCAATTTATATAAGAATTGCCTAATGTTCGCCGTGCTTCCCGCCTTATGACGGCAGTCCAGTATCCTCCACTCGGAAGTCATTGGTTCTTCGCGCACTAGGCTGAGTCACTGCGCACATTTGTGTCACATGCCGCAGTTTATCACAGGATCACAGCACCTCCCATCGCCACGTCTCGAATAGTCATCCACTCAACGTCCCTATAACTACCTTACCCACACCTTCTGATTATCATGTTACTTCTGGCCAATTTCTTCTTTACACTTCTCCTGCATTTTGGCTTTTTCTTCAGTACCGTGCTGAGCGATAGGTGGTACTACGACGCTGATTGTGACGGCCGCTACATCGCCTTCGACGCCAACGACTACCAAAGGTGCTATACCATTCCCCAAAACGGAGGCTACGCTAAAAGCATCCAATCTGATTCTTCGGGACTCCCCGAACAGTGGGTAGCTTATCGCCGGAGGCAGGGGGGAGCGCAGTGTGGGTATAGCGTTTGCTCATTCAACAATCTCAACTCCCGTTGCTGCACCGCGAGCAGTAAGACTATCACTGGCTTAGAAAAATTCCGAATTGATTCACTCATGTCGAAGCATCAAGACACTCAGGTCACCCAGGCTGAGGAGTCTTGGGAGGATATCTTCAGGGAAGGGAGATCTCGAGAGCAAATCTCGCAGGCAGTTGCCGCCCGTCAAGCTCGCGGCGGTGCAGGGACGCAAGATCAAGGCGGGGCCTGCGAACAAATCTCATGGACCAGTGCGGAAATATTCATTGACCTCCCTGATGGAACGCACTACGGGCTCGGTCGGGGAACCCCCAATGTAACGGAAGGAGAGCTTCAGCGACAGCTCAAGGCCGCGGGGAAACCAGAGTTGTCGGAGGAGAAGATTGCCCAACTGCGAGGGGACAAGATAGTTATTGGAGACGCAAACGAGCCTATTGGTTCAAGTGAGTCACAGTAGGAGCACGGGGTGGGCTTTTCAGAATTTCAACAAAATGTATGGCGATCATTAGGATGGCATCGCAAGTTCTGCTTCAACAGTAGGTTAGTTTATTCGATTTTCCCTCAATTACGATGAGACCTATGCAACGCTTCATCCGCCTTGGCGTGAAGCCTTCAAAAACGGGTACAAGTGGGACATCGCGACCTGATCGAATTACCTGGGGTAGC